TCCACGGGTGTGGATGGTTCTGCAATGTATACATTTTTTTGTACTCACTTTAAAACTTTGTTGTTGACGTTTGTACGTCATGTGTATTGGAACCTGTGAGTTAGGACCGATGGGTATAACTCATAGAGTAATTTCGGATAGGGTACACCGTCTGCTCGTCACGCTATCTTATTTTCGGCCGGATAGATTCGTGCAACTTCTTAGTCTAATACCGATCCTAATCTTACTCTTATACTATCTAGTCTCAGGTTGTTTAACTAGTCTCTGCTAGGCTCAATAGATCTAGGGTATACTGGTTTATTGCGGCTGCTGAAGTACTCGGGAGAGTTCAACTAATTTCTAAGTTAAATTCAAATCTCTCTGGTGCTGAAATTACAAGTAATTTCAGCACTTACAAATAAGTGGATTGTTAGTTAGATGGATCATGATTGGTTAATATTAAATACTTTACATTGGTAAAATATCTAATTTATCCAATCATAAAATGTAGTTTAGATCAGGTTCCACCCATCCGGGTTTTACAGAGTTTTTTAGAATAGTTTTTCTGCAATTCGAAAGATGGATGATGGACGTTGGTATTTGGCGAACATCTTATTTCTTCTGGGTTTTCTTATTAGAGAAGTCCCAGATTCAATCATTGTGTCTTCTCAAGACAACGACTGGGTTTTCGCATTAAACTCAAATCTGATTTCAGAATGGTTGGCTATGTCAGGTTTTTCTGTTTCATTGGTGAGAACTTCTTTGTGTTTGACCTTGTCTGGGAATGGCGTGGAGATTGTGCGTGGAGGGGATGCCTGGTTACTCGGATCTGTACGTATACTTGAACATCGAGGTGGTCAGTGGTCTAGTTCAATGAAGTCCTTTTCTGCGAAGTCAAGTCGTACTCTAAATCCTTTGAGTTGTGATTGTGGGCGGCATATTGATTGTAGTTGGCCATTCTTTCTCGAGTGTAGTAGGGTCGTTTTGTCTTTGGATGTTCGTCCTTGGTGTTGTATTCTGATCTATGTATTGCATAATGTAATTTACATTTTATAAAACTTTTATTAGTTTAATATTTTTTAATTATGATTTTAGTTAGTTGTTTTCACAAAAGCTTTTTGTTTTAGTTCAGTTATTTTGAAGAGTTACTCACCCTTGAGTAGCTCTTATTAAAAATAGGAGTGTGGTCACAAAGCGTGGATGTAGCACGGTGGGTTAGGCCGGCTATAGAGCATGCTCAGGACGTCCTTCCTGATGGGTTAGGCCAGGAGTGGGAGTATGATTGCATGCGGTTTTTGTGAGAGGTCCTGTTATGTGACAACGTTTTATGTTGGGTTTGTTGTGGTTTTTCTTATGTTTTGTTGGTTGTGTCCTCTTTTCAAAAATCAAATTGTTTGTGGTATGGGTTTGTCTTTCGACTTTTTTGTGTTTTATCATTTCTTTCTTAGACTTTATAATAGTCTTCAAAAGAATAAATTATCCAGTTTTAAACTGGGTTAATCCGGTTTGGGTACCGTTGGTTTCCTTTTCTTAGTCATGCTGTTATGCTATGTGTTGTGGTGTTTAGTAAGCTGCATTGGTTAGTTTTGTTTAGTATATAAATCCTTTCCAACCGGGTTAAAGGAAAGTTTGAAACGTGTTATCTTGTGTTAGAGTTATCGAGTGTGAAAGCTTGGAACTGAAATTCATTATTTTAAACAATTCTTCGTGGGCGAGCTGTGCGAGTTTGGATAGAATTCTTATGCGAGTGAATGAAAATATCAAAAGGTTAGTACTGCATTTGCTTCTTATGAATTTACTACATAGAATTTTAATTTTACTGCTAGTTGTTGGGGGAAATTAAGTTACAAATTTTCATCATTATTAGATTTACTGCTTGTGGGGGAAAAATTTATAAATTAATTCACTGCATTGGTATTATATTTATTTAATTGTTGGTGCAAAAATTTAATAGGGTTTTAAACAGTTTTGAAGAAGTTTGCTATTTTTTATTTTTCTTTTGTGAATTTTTCAGATGATCTAGGATGAAGGCTAAAATTCTAAAGAAAACATGGATAAAGAATGGTGAGTTTCTAATATTTGAATTAATTAGTAATATGTATAATTCATACTTACCTGTTAGTCGTCGGGGAAGAAACCGTGGGGGAAAATGTCGTGGATGAGATCTGAAGTTGTTAGTAGTTTGGCTAAGATGCGGATGATATTTTTAGTTTGAAGCAGTGGCCAAAGCAATTGAAGTGCTTTAATGGTGGTTAGTTCTTCAGTGCCAACTGCAAATTCATAAGGTGTGTTTTGGATTAGATTATATAATTTGTGGTTGAATTTAGTGTTATGGATGAATTCTAAAATGGGGATTTCTATAGGTTGTACAAACTCGTGTGGGATGAGGAAGGGTCGGGATTCTTCTGCGTTGAAGGTCTTGGTGATGGGACAAAAGATATACATTTGGGTTATGGGATCATAATTTCGAAGAATACCATGAAGGTTAGTATCTTTAATGCAATATATGAAGTTAAGAAAGAATGGTGAGGTGTATTTGGAATTGATGAATTGAAAACGATGGTGTGGTTGTCTGGAGGGAGTGTGTAGGTCAAAGTGATTTTGGATGAAACGATAATAAGTATATGTGTGTGTTTGTTTAGTGCGCAACATAATATCGTGTGAGCAGTGCAAATCTCTTTCATGTGGTGCAAGGAAATGAAAGGTTAGTGAAAATATTTGGAAGCGTTCTTTAAAACTTTCGTAGGCTTGCGTGTCTGTTAGTGCTTCTGAGATAATGTGGTCAAACTTGCGATCGAAGATATTTAGTGTAAATACATATGGTGTTTTAACGAAAAATTTCTCGGTGATTTGTGGGTTAGCGAAGCGATCGTCGTCTAAGAATTGATCTTGGTTAGTTCTGATGATGTTATGATCGTAATATTCTAGTGTATATTCATTAGCTCGGGGTGCAGTGTGTGTTTTTAGTGATTTTTTGTATCCATGGTAAGTAAATTGTCTAGGTGTTAGTGGTGTAGTGAGTCGATATAGCATGTCCTTATTTCGTTCTATATCGATATGAGTGTTAGATAAAGGTAAGCAAAGGGGATTTGTAAAATGATAATATGAGGTCCAAGGAAGGGTAGGCATTAAAACGTATTCGTCTACAAATTTACGTGTCTCGTTAGTGTCATGAGGTGTGTTAAAGGTGTATTGTGGAAATGAGGGTAAGGTGATAGCTAAGAATTCTTTTGTGTTAGTGTGTTGTGGATGGTTGATATATTCACGGGCTGTTCCTGGTTTCGCTGGGAAAGGATGGTTGGGGAACTTCCTTTTAAAAGTGCGGTAAGCTCTATTAGTGCTGAGTGAAGATTCAGTAGTTGTGGATGATGGTGCTAATGAATCAGTATAAATTGTAGAGGGTGTAGGGGTAGGAGGGTTGGATGAATCTATTGTGGATGAGATTTGGTTTATGGTTGGGGTGTCAAGGTGATAGGATTGTTGTTGTAGGGTAATGAAATTATCTAGTTCTGGGGAGATTCGGGGGGTGTCTGAAGAATGAGATGATTGGTCTGAGTGAAGTGAGGAGTAGGTTGGAGTGACTTGAGAAGCATAAGAGGGTGTAGAATTGGTTGGGTCAGGGTTATTTGGTAGTATGGGTTGAAAAGGGGGTTGGGAAAAATTTAAGGGATTGGTGTGAAAATTATTTGATGGAGATGGTTCAGAGTCGGCAAATTTATCGGGGGTTTCAATATTCGGGTTATTGAGTTGTGAGATGGAGTATAAAACTGAGATGTGTGAATTAGTATCGGAATTCATGCCGGATGTTACATTACTGGATGGGAAATCGGGTGGCGGAAAAGCAAAAAGTGGTATTATTGGGATTGGAGTGGTGAGGTTGGTTGGGTGGGAATTTGATCGGTGTAGGGATCCAAGTTGTCGGCTCATCGTGGGCTAAAAAAAATATTATTTTGAGACTGAAAAGCGGTGGTATGGGGTTGTTCTATAATTTGTTCATAAGTATTTTCATCTTGTGAGTGGTGTGGCATTATATGTTGGATGGGACTTTGTGATATGGTTGGTCTAAAATTATTATGTGTTATGGCTAAATTTCGAAAATTACGTGGGACTAGGGATAATGGATGGTTATGTGGTAGGGGTGGTAACTGTGGTGCTGTTGGTGTTGTGTCTGCATTGTTATGTTCTTCGTCGTATGTGTTCTGTCTTGTTGCTATTTTTGTGTTATATTCTTTTATTTGTGCGTCTAAAAGAATTTTGTTTATAGATGTAGAAAATATTCCAAAAAATCCTGCAAATAGTATGCGTGCTACACTTGCTTGTCTATTGACTTGTGTGTGTATAGCACATGTGTTATAGATTCCTTTTATGAGTGAAAAAAGAAATCCAATAAAGTTAAACATTGCGTATAAAATAGTCAGTTTTTCTAAGATGTAGTAGGGCCATCCTAGAAAATCAAGAATTTCATTCTTGAGTGTAACAAAGCTAAAAATATTGATAGGTGATATATCTTGGGGACGGTATTTTTCACCGTTTAGATATATATAATCTTTACTGTCTTTAAAATATCCGCTATAGTCTTGCGTATAGATGTCTGCAAATCCTGCGGTTTCGGCAAGTTTGCGTAAGTTTTGGTCAATTGATTGTCTTTGTATTGTGTCCATTTGTGTTAATAATTCCTGGAATTGTTGTGTTCTAATGTGATGTTGAATATCTGA